TTTTTCAAATATAAAAGAACAAAAACGAAATCTAATGTTAACAATCTTAAGAAAATATTTTTGAGTTTTATATTTTTCAAAAATTAAAGACATAATAAAAGAAAATCTTTTTGTTGTTTTTGAATTTTTCAAATATATACAAACAAATGAAAATATTTTTGATTTTTCATGTTTTTCGCAAAGTAGAAACGAACAACATTAAATTGAATCTCAGTTACCAAATGTGCGAATGCGAAGCAATGCGAAACCGCTTATCTCACAGTAACTTCTGAATGATTCTGAATCAGAGCTGCTGAATGGACCTTTCATTCTTGAGTGATAGATTTTGACACTGAATTCGCATCAATCATCCCTAAACCTGCTAAAGTTCTCACAAATGATTTTTCATCAAGAGGTTTAGTAAAAATATCAGTAAGTTGTTCAGTGGTTTTCACAAAATGAACTTCAATATTCCCATCTTCCACATGATCTTTGATAAAGTGATATCTAAGAGCAATATGTTTTATCTTTGAGTGTTGTACTGGATTATGACAAATGCGAATTGCACTTTGAGAATCACAATACAAAGGAATCTTTTTCATATTTATAGCATAATCGCGAAGTTGACTCTAAATCCAGATGATTTGCGAAGTACAAGCAGCAACTGAAATATATTCAGCTTCAACAATTGATATAGCAACACAAGTTTGCTTCTTTGACTGTCAACTCACCAGTTTTCCATCCAATAGTTAACATCCGCCACTTGTACTTTTTCACTCCAGTTAAGTGAGGTTCTCTAGGATTAGCTTGGTACCTAGCACAATTACATACATAAAACATAATATCGGGTCTACTTGCAATCAAGTACAATAAAGACCCTATCATGCTTCGATAAAGTGTTAAATCAACAGTAGGAGTATCTAACGAAGGCGTTAATCTTGTTCCCACTGCCTTTGGTACTCTAAGCTTCTTGCTATTTGTCATTCCAAACTTTTCGAGCAGACCCTTTGTATATTGTTCTTGGTTGATTAAAATTCCATCCCTATTATGTCTTATATTTAAACCAAGAAAATAATTAATTTTTCCCATCATGCTCATTTCAAATTGACTTTTCATGAGATTTTCAAATTCAATAGACAATACTGGGTCGGTTGAGCCAAAAATAATATCATCAACATAAATTTGAACAAGCATAAGATGATTCCCAACTTTCTTGTGAAATAATGTGGGGTCAACTGATCCTTGTTTAAATTTAGATTGTTTCAAAAAAAATTTAAGTGTTGCGTACCAGGCTCTTGGTGTTTGTGTTAACCCATAAATTGCTTTGTCTAATATGTAGACATGATCAGGATGTTCCTGATTTATAAATCCTGGTGGTTGTTCAACATAAACTGTTTCTTCTAGTTCTCCATTTATGAATGCACACTTAACATCCATTTGAAAAATGTCAAAGTCTTTGTGAGCTGCATAAGCTAAAAATATGCGAACTACTTCGAGTCTTGTGACAGGAGCAAATGTTTCTTCATAGTCTATTCCTTCTTGTTGCGAATAGCCTTTAACAACTAATCTAGCTTTATTTCGAATAATATTGCCTTCTTTGTCAGTTTTATTTTTGTAAATCCATTTTAATCCGACAATCGAAACATCTGGAGGTTTAGGAATTAGTCTCCAAACCTTGTTTCGTTCAAATTCAACCAGTTCAGATTGCATAGCAACAACCCAATCTGAGTGTTCCATAGCATTCTTTACTGTCTTTGGCTCTATTTTCGAAATAAAAACATTAAACATACAAAATTATTGATTCACATTCAGTACCTCATTTTTCGCACGAATTTGAGCTCTTGTCAACACACCATCTTGTGGATTCCCAATCACCTGTTCTTTGGGATGATTCCTTGTCCATTTCTCAAGTGGAAGAAAATCAGGATTGAATTCCAATGGTGCATCTTCGTACATATCTTCATTTTCAGATCCTGCAACAGAAAAATTATCATTTAATTCATGAAATTCATCATTTTCATCAATATTAATTGTCTCTGTTTCATCATGCTTCCCCTCAACATAATGTTCATCTTGATGCTCCCCCTCAAAATGATGTTCTGATTGAAATTGTGAATACTCCCCTCAACTTAGTGATTCATAGTCTCATTCTCCCCCCCGAAAGTTTGTTGTCCCTGTACATTTGTGATTGAATGCTCCCCCTCCATACAAACTTCAGGCACACTTTGTCAAGATATTGACTTTGTTGTAATTGTTGAATCATTAGTATGTTTTGAGGATTCTGATGTTTGATTATTAGGAGCATTAACTTCCGCATCAATTGCCCTGTCAGAAATTCCAAAAATTAAGTCATAATCAAAATCATTGATATCTGAATTTTCAATTTGAGTATCTGAACCAACAAGAATTGATTTATTTTCAAATTTAGTATCCATTTGTTTAAGATAGTAATCATCGAAGGTTAGGTTGAAAGTTTCTTCAACTTTTCTTGCTCGCTTGTTTAACACCCTGTAGGCAACTGAATTTTGCGAATATCCTAAGAATATGCCTTCATCAGCTTTAGCTTGGAATTTGGTCAAGTTATCTTTTAGATTCATTATAAAACACCTGCAACCAAAAACATGGAAAAATTTTACATTAGGTTTTCGATTGTTAAGTATTTCATATGGAGTAATATTGAATCTTCTATGAATAAAAGAATGATTCTGAGTAAAACAAGCAGTCGACACAGCTTCAGCCCAAAGATATTGAGGAAAGTCCGCATATGTTAGCATGGTTCTTGCTGGTTCACATAGAGATCTATTTCTTCTTTCAACAACACCATTTTGTTGTGCAGTGTATGGGGATGAGAAATTATGCGAAATGCCTTTGGCTGTGAGAAATGAATCAAGCGTTTGATTTTTAAACTCAGAACCATTGTCACTTTTAATTCTACGAACATTATTTTTAAGACTCATCTCAATCATTTTGATAAAATCAATCATCGTCTGAGCAACTTCAAATTTTAACTTGAGAAACAATACCCATGTAAATCGAGAAAAATCATCAACAATAACTAAAATGTACCTCTTTTTATTGATTGTAGCAACAGTCGACGGTTCACATAAGTTAATGTGAAGAAGTTCCAATGGTTCCATGAATTTTGAATCTATCACAATTGGATTACCTTTTCTATGTTGTCTTCCTTGTTCGCAAGCTGCACACAAAGTATCATTGTCAAATTTTAATACAGGTAAACCTCTAACTAAATCATTAATGACAAGCTTGTTAATATTGCAAAAGTTCAAATGAGACAATCTTCTATGCCAAAGCCAGCTAACATCATTAGAGGCCTTTGACAATAGACACACTGCAGGTTTGCCCACAATCGGTTTGATGTCGAGTGTGAACATGTCTCTGTATCTTTTAGATTTGAGAAGTACTTTATTTGTCACTACTTTTGAAATAATACTTCCTTCTTCATTAAACACAACCTGATTTCCAGTACCCACAACAAGTTTCGAAACACTAATCAAGTTATGTTGAAGACCTTCAACATAAGCAAATCGGTTAACTGTGAATTATCCCTTTGTGACTTTTCCATAACCTTTCACTTGACACTTGTGATTGTTTCCAAATTTGACTACTCCTACATTTTCCAAGCTTCTATAATATCGCAAGTTTTCCTTTCTTCTAGTCATGTGACGAGAGCAACCACTATCAATATAACATTTCACATCATATTGCTTTTCACATATCACCTGCATTTAATGAAAGAATTTAGGAACCCAAGATTTGTTGGGTCCTTCATTAGTAGCACTGAACAGATTCTTTGAATTTAAAAACCACGTTTTCACTTTGTCTGTAACATTATCAATTAAATCAACATCATAAAATCTAGATATTGAAATATAGTTGTTCGATAGTTTTGGATTACCATTGACTTTTACCTCATCCTTCACAACATTCGCAACTCTCACAACTGGTTTCCACTTTTGTACTGGAACTTACGAATCATGAGATGATGAACTACCAGTATAAGACTCATTCACAAACTTGTCAAATGCAACCTTTCTCTGTTGTTTTGAAAACTTTCCATTTTGGTATTGTTTTCCTTGCCCTTCAAACCAATTATTGAACATATATACATCAGATTTTCCTTTTGTATATGAAACTTTGGTTGGTTTTGTGATTGAAGGATTTGGAAAATTTGGTTGTTTGGGTGAAAATCTTAGTTTTGTTTGATTTTTGACATTCAAAGTTGGTGAATTATTCGTTAATTTTCTAACACTTTGAAACTTTGTCAACAGAATATATTAATTTGTAAAAAACTGTATCCTTTTGTTTATTTGTTCCATGAAATTTTGATGGTTTTGTTCTAGAAATTTGTGCTTTCGCAACTTTTGATTTATCATTAGTCACAACTTGCCAAAAGATTGCTTTTCTTGCTTTTCTTTTTGAAACATTGTTTTCTTTTGAATACTCTCCAACCATCAACTTAAATTCATGATAATTTAATTTCACTTCCATCTTTGGTTTTTCATCTTTTTCAAAAACTTTGTTTTCGGTTACACTTTTAACCATCCATTTTTGTGATGATTTTTGATTTTGAAAAAGATAAGAGTTTTGAGTTAAATTGTTTTCTACCGTATTTTGAAATGCAAAGAAACCTTCGGTAGTTGACCTTTTGTTATCATTTTCAACCATTTGATTGAATTCAGGCTTGATTTTCTCAACATTTCCAGTTGTGACGAAGACTTGGTTTGGAAAATTCTGTTATCAGTGCATGTAAAATTCGGATAGACCACAGTGTTGGTTTCCAAATAATGTGAACCTTTGTCATTAAGAACTTTGTCAAATTCTTTTGTATCACCAAACACTTGATTAACAACAACACGTTGAGGTGATTCATGCAAATCTTTCGCATCTTCTTTGTCTTCACTAGTGTCATCTATCTTACAACTTTCAACTTCCACATTATCAAAGTCACAAGTTTGCGAAGTAGAGACTTTATCATTTTCATCCTTTACTATCGAATCAACCATAATTTCTTTACCTTTGACCTTTGATGTGATATTAATGATTGATAAGTTTGATGTGATATTAATTGAGAATTTTTCAGAAAAAAACTTGAAAAACTTGATGATTTTGTGAATTGATCACTGATTGCTAATTGATCACTCGACTAAACAATTGAAATGCAGAATCGATTCAAATATGAAGATCAAGAGTGATTTTCATAAGACAGAATTGCAAGTTTGGTCCCTGTGGTATGTCAAAAATTGGATGTTTGGTCCAAAAAGTTTTGGGGTTGTACTGGTGGTCCAAAAGCTTTGATTTGTTGTGGAATTGGTCCAAAGGCTTAACAGCCGTCTACCCCCTCCGTCTGTGTGAGGGTATTTTTGTCAATTCACGCTCATTCCTTTGATATCTTATTAAATTAAACCTCATCATCCTAATTAATTGATACCTGCCGCCAAATCCTCTGTGCATTTCGTCGATCGACTCTCCTGTCACTTTCATCTTCATTCGTTACCCAGAAGCCCTAACCTCCAAGTTGAGTTTTTTACTGTGATCGGTGTTATTTCAGTGTATGAACATACCAATGTGGAATATAAGGCTCTTAGACAAACCGTTCAACGCAAAGGTGGCTTATGGTAAGGATTTTGTAATTTCTCTGTACATTACATGTTTTGTATGTGAAATCATGCTTCTGAACTTATTTTTGTTGTTGGTTTGAAGATGGCCACCCAACATTATTTACCATCAAGCTATACCATGGAGGTGAGTTCACCAAGTTTCCTGATGTTCAATACATTGACGGAAGTGTGAACTATGTTGACATGGTGGATATAGACACGTTTTCAGTTCATGAGTTGGATGCTATCATGAAAGGGTTCAGGTACGGTGTTCCTCCTGTGATTTACTATCACTTCCTTGTGCCTGGTGGAGACTTCCACTTTGGTCTTAAACCCTTAGGCAATGATGATGATTTACGAACTTTTGCCCAATATGTGTGTGATCACAAAATCATGAGGGTATATACTGAACATGGTGAGACAAAGTTACTTACCTACTTTATGAATCCTAAACCTGTTAAGAAGGTAACTATTGTACAAATGGATGAAATAGATGAAAATGATGACAATGAAAACCACACAGCTGAGGTACAAGAATTTCCAAGCCCACCTAGATCATCCCCTGTTGAGGTTGAGGTACAACCATTACATGTCGAGGTTCATGATAGACAAAAAGAGCTTATTGCCAATGACTTTATGGAGGCAGCTACAGAATTTGATATTGGTTTGTATCAAAAGATGTTACAATCAAATGCAGATGTTCATGAACATGTACAAGTAGAAGTGGAAGAACATGTTCAAGATGAAGTAGAAGAACATGCACAAGTAGAAGTAGAAAAAAATGTACAAGATGAAGTGGAACTGGATCATGGACATGAGGCTGCCATGGAAGACAACTTGGATAATTACATGGATAATTACATAGACAACAACATGGATGATTACATGGAGACTGAAATGGAGCATGACAATGGGAGCAAATCTGATGGAGAAGATGGGAGCATATCTGATAGGGGAGAGGGTAGTCACTGTGATGAGGAAAATGACAGTGAGGATAGTGATTGGGTGGATGAGGAGAATATCATTCCTGAAGTTGAAGTGGATATGAGGGATTTCCACATGAGCATTGACACTGAAGCAGAGTTTTTTGAGAAAAGACTAAGGAATAGCATGGAGAAAGATAGAAATCAGGAGCATGAAGATATGGAGTTGGATGTTATTGACAATGATGAATGGGATTCAACAGATGATGATTCTGAGATGGGCAAGAAGAGAAGACAAGTTATTAAAGAATTAGGTAAGGAAAAAAGGTGTTCTTTAGGAGAAGTTCATAAACCAACATTTCGTATAGGACAAAAATATAAAAGTAAAAAAGAGTTGAAAGACAAAATTGCCCATCATGCCTTGGAAACCAGGAAGAATCTTTTTATTAAGAAAAATGATAAACTTAGGTTGCGGGCCACATGCAAAGGAAAAGTAGTATTCAATGAGGGGCAAGTGGATGGACCTACCACTGGGAAGAAAAGTAAAGGCAAAAGTAAAAAGACAAAGACAAGTACTGAACTGTCTTGTCAGTGGGTTTTACAAGCATCTAGGAAAAGTGAGGAAGAAAGTTGGTGTGTGAAAACCTACCAACCTGAGCATTCATGTCTCAATACAAGAAAGGTAAGAACGGCCACAGCAAACTTCATCTCTAAACAGATTATGGATCTAGTGGAATCTAACCCAACTGTGCCAATCAAAGCTGTACAAGAACTACTTCAGAAAAGATATCAGGTGAGCTTCTCCAAAGACAAGGTATTTAGGGCTATAGCAGATGCCAAAAAACATGTGATGGGAGACTACACAAAACAATATGATGTGCTGAGAGATTACATATTAGAGTTGCAGTCCACAAATCCTGACACAACTGTGAAACTGGAACTGGTTCCAGAACCAAATCTTGTAAATGCAACTTCAAGATGTTTTCAGAGAATTTATATTTGCTTGGGTGGAATGAAAAAGGGGTTCAAAGCATGCTTAAGGGATTTTATTGGTTTAGATGGGGCCTTCATGAAAGGAGCTTACCCAGGGCAGATCTTGACTGCAGTTGGCTTAGATTCTAACAATGGTATATACCCATTGGCATACGCCATTGTTGAGTCTGAGAGCACACAAAGTTGGAAATGGTTTCTAGAGTACCTGGGAGATGATTTGGACCTGTCACAACTTTCAAACTTCACTTTCATAAGTGATAGACAAAAGGTAATAGATTTCCTTGATGTATTTTAGTTTTCTTATTACACTTGTATTATACTAACCACAGTTTAATGACTTTGTAGGGCTTAATTCCAGCCATTGCACAGTTGTTCCCGGTTGCTGAACACAGATTCTGTCTTAGACATATCTATGAAAACATGAGGAAGAGATGGAGAACTACTGAGTACAAAGAAAAGTTATGGAACTGTGCCAAAGCCACAACAGTGCAAGAATTCAATCGTTTGATGAAAGAGTTTAGTGAATATGACATAGAAGCTTATGAATGGTTGAAGAAGATCCCACCACAACATTGGGCTAGAAGCCATTTCACAGGTAGACAACTCTCAATTCAGTGCTAAGTTACACAAATTTGTTGTATGCTGTTCTAAATAAAATTATCTTGCAGGTAGACCAATCACAGACATGCTTTTAAATAACCTATGTGAAGTGTTTAACAGTAAACTGATAGAAGGTAGGGATAAACCAATAATCACATGCTTAGAGTACATTCGGGAGTACATGATGAAGAGGATTTGCAATGTGATAAAGGTTCAACAGAAGTGTGCAGGTCCATTGACTCCAACAGCAACAAAGATCATGGAAACAAACACAACAAATGCTTCTAACTACATAGCCAGGTGGAATTCCTCAGACAAGTATGAAGTACAAGGACCATGGCAAGATCAACATGTTGTTGACATGGGCCAAAGGGTATGCAGCTGTAGGAAATGGGAATTAACAGGAATTCCTTGTAGGCATGTGATTGCAGTCTTATTTGATAAAGCTGACAATGGTGAGGATGTGGGTGAACTTTACACTTATGTACACAAGGTGCATTGGCTTGAAACCTGGAAAGAGGCTTATTCCTACAAGGTAGAACCAATCAAAGGTCGTATCATGTGGCCTGTTAGTGATTGTCCAATAAAGATCAGCCCTCCTCCACATCGTAATCAGCCTGGTAGGCCCAAGAAGAAGAGGCAAAGATCCATGGAGGAAAAATCTCAAAGTCAGAGCCAAACTCAAAGTCAAAGTCAAACAATTGGTGCTAGTGGTATAGATGGTCATGGTCCAGGGGGCAGTGGAAAACTCACAAGGAAGTTCATTACTGTCACTTGTAGCAAGTGTAAAAACAAGGGACATAATGCAAGAACATGTAAGGGGCAATGAGGAAATTGATGTGTTGTCTTGTTGGATTAAGATGATGTAATGTGTTACTTTTGGGAACCATTGTGTTGTTCTTTTGGGTGTCTGTTTAATGGTTTTGATGTTTTTTGGACAACTTTACCCTCCGTTTAGAATGATGTTTTTTTTGGTCATGTAACAAGAATTTGGTATGTGCAAACAATGGTTATTAACTTTGGATGTTCTTTTGTTTATGCATCATTGTCCTTTACTTTTTAGCATCTTTATGTTACTATTAGGTTATGTTAAGCATTAACAGTTTGTCCCATCACTGCTATGTCTAGTAGAACCAAAATATTTGGATGTTTGAAACAAATAACTTCATTACCCACTAACCATAACAATGCATTCACTTTCATGTCCAAAAGAGTACATTCACAAACATAGCAATTTTCCCAAATCTACCACAAAATAAACCACTAAAACATGGAAGAACTACTTCATCAGAAAAAAACGAACCCAAAAAAAACCCAGCTACATATCAGGTACAACTTTAGTTTTGATTTTTCTTCCTTTATTTTTCCAATATCATACTTGAACATTTGATTTTCTTCCTTCAATTTTCCAACTTCAGTCTTTAGCTTGTTGATTGATCTCAGCAACCCAGGTATTATTGATTTTGATCGTTCACACATTTGAGGGTCGATCCATCCCACAAACCCACATGTCGAATCCTAGCAAAATATAAGAAGGAATTGAGTGATCAGTGAAAAATCTTCATAACCAACCACATGAATACTAACCTCTTTAGGGCATCCCCAAAAACGTCGACCAGGGTTCTTATCAGTCCAAGCCATTCGCACTATCGCCATTTGACCACAAAAACACCTCACCATTGTTGATTTTGAGTTTGGAAGACACGATTTTGATTTTAGCAGGAGGAGATATCGATTTAGGGAAAAGATGAAACACATGTTCGATCTATTAATAAGGAGAGTAGACGTTAGGGGGGGTTTAATTTAATAAGATATCAAAGGAATGAGCGTGAATTGACAAAAATACCCTCACACAGACGGAGGGCGTAGACGGCTGTTAAGCCTTTGGACCAATTCCACAACAAATCAAAGCTTTTGGACCACCAGTACAACCCCAAAACTTTTTGGACCAAACATCCAATTTTTGACATACCACAGGGACCAAACTTGCAATTTTGTCTTTTCATAACCAAAATGCGCGGAATTTTTTTTTGAATAAAAACACTACTCAAAAACCAAATGATTCTAAAATGAAAAGCAGATCAACGCAGCTTGAATCCTACTCTGATACCAATTGATGTGAATTGTAAACGAGATTTAGAAAACAATCATGATTATATGAATGAAAAGTAAGAATACAAGGAGTAAATATTAATCAGATCTTATATTGATGAAGAAACTGATTACAGACTAAGCAGAGAAAAACCTTCTCTCTACTTCTAACCTCAGTTCCTATTTATAGGAAACATGAGTGAACAAAAAATATATTAAGTCCTGAACAATATGCTTCGCACAAATGAAGACTTAGTAAAATAACTAACATACGAAACTCAAGACAAACACTTCGACTTTTACAATAACTAGACTCTACACAATATAGTCATTTAGTTACCACCTCTCGACTTTGTAAAATACCAATTTCAAGCCCTCAGGCTTTTAGCTATGCAATCTTAGTTTTTTTATTTTTATTTTTTATCTATATATATATATATATATATATATATATATATATATATAATATATATATATATATATATATATATATTAATGCTTATTTTTAAGCATTTTGCATGACATGACTTTGTTCCCAGACTTCTATTATTTGGCAACTGAAGTCCTCCTAAGTTCCATACATGACTTTGGTTCCTGACTTTAATGGTTTGGCAACATAAGCCGTCTTAAATTCTTTTTTTTTTAATCGAAAGAATTCATCTTCTTAAATCCATTACTGCCGCCGCAACGCGCGGCAGATAAAATCCTAGTTATTATTTAATTGCTTCTACAATTGATGATATGGGTGTAGGTGAATAAAGTAATATTTCAGATGAAAGTGGAGATTTTCAAAGTTGAAAATCATGGTATGTTCGAATTAAAGAACAATGCTATTTTAGTACTTGAATATTAATTGTTATGATAAGTTGGAAAATTGTTAAGTGATGGAATTGTCAATTATTTGAGGATTTAAATAAGATTCATTAAAATTGGTGGACATTTTTTTTTCTTTAAATCAAATAATGGAGCTTTGATACAAAATAGATGACTATAGATAAATGTGATAGATCCTCTTTACGATTTTAGCTTGTCATTGAAGCCGTAGGAGAAGAATAAGATATTTTCAGCTGAAGTTGTGAGCTTTGGGTGGAATAAAGAAATGTAAACCTTCATTTTCATGTTTTTGCATCATCAAGGATTGCCAAAAATCCTTTATTGATCTCACAGTGTATTATTCTCTTCCATAAGTGTATGGTTCGTCGAGAAATGAAAGAAATCTGGGTTTCATTGGTGATTAGGGAATTAAAGGTTGTTTCATGATTGTGAAGGTGTTAGAACTTTATATATAAAGTAATTGCAAGTTGGCAATTTCTTTTGTATCCCACATTGGTGGGGGGAAGAAACTTTTGTGGGTTTATAAGCCTATTCCCCTGGTAAGTTTTCAAAGGCTTTAGTGGATCAAAGGAATGGGCCAAGCCCACGCACCTAGCCTAGCCTAGCACTAGCCGATGCTGCAAGTGCACGAAATGGTGCGATTTAGGCGCACTTTTCACTTCGCACGCTGTTGAGGAGCTTTTATTTTTTGACGAGTTCGGATCAATCCGGTTTGACCAATCCAGTCAAATGGTTAACCGCCGTTGACTTCGTGGAGGCCTAGTCAGGGTATTCTAGAAGGATCAGGAAACGGCTTGCTTGGAGAGCAAGCTGTCGCTCTAGGTTTTCTGGGGCCGGCCTATGGGGGCCCGTTTAATGCCTTCTAGGGTTACAATACTTATAAATACAACTCCCTAGGAACCGCATTTACACCTCTCGAAAATTTGAAAGCTTTCTCCCTCTCTCTGCGTTTTTTCCTAGTTTCCAAGTAGTCGCTTTGTGTTTGTCGATTTCCAATACTATTGGAATATCAATCAAGCTGCATTAAATCCTGGGGTTTTACTTTGTTGCTTACAGCCAGTAGAAGCGAAGTAAAAACATTTAACGACTCGAGTCTGATCCGTGCAGTTGCATCAGGATCAAGATCAGCAATCAACAGGTCGGTTTGACTTTTCTGTCTTGTGATTAATTCGTCCAATAACAGGACAATCTTCTTCTACCTTTCTTATAATCAGATCTAATCGAGAAGGATAGATCTGGTTTCTGGACGAAACTCGGTAAATATAATCATAATAATTGGATCTATTATTCGTAACTAATCGATATATAATTTTCAATATTATTTGTCGGTTTCCTTGCACGTCTATTAGTTTGTTTTATACAACAGAAGGTAGTTAAACAATGTTTCTAATACATCGTATCTACACCTAATCTTATAAATTATCCAAATAGATTTTTAAGTTGATTACAAGTGTTGGAATGGAAAAGTAGACAAAAACATCAAGTTAATATGAATTTGGACAACGACACTATGTTTATAAATCTACACTTTTGTCCCAAATGGGGGGTTGAACCCTCAAACTTTGGCCCACGACATCACTCAAACAACTCTTGATACTGCCACACTACAAACTCTTTAACTTGAGTAATCTGTGTATTAGTCAAGGAAATAATTTTATATATGTTTAAACAGAAGATTAGTTTATGTATTTGATATAGTATAGTTTGTATTTCACAATATATTGTTCCAACATGATTAATCTTCATTGTTCGTTATGATGCTTTTTAATGAAAATTTAATATTGTTTGGTGAGATAACTTCTCAATTAACATCTCGTATAATATAAAATTTAACCATTTAAAAATAGTTCTTAACAAATAACTAATAAGTGTATACTTCACTAAAACGATGCATTAAAACGACCCATGAGTATAGCACTTGTTACAATTACAACATAAACTTACAACTAAAATCATGGATATGCATCTTCGCTTGATTATATTTTTTACTTGAAAACCAATTAAAAAATATATAACAACGAACATATATGTTACCGATTTTGACCATTGAAAAATATACATGAGACAAGTTAATAAAATGTTAATAAGTTATCTGCTATCTTGGATCCTTATCACACAACACTTTTTTCAATGTGAATCTATTATTAGATATTTTTATATCTTCGATCAGAAATCTATATGCCTCCTTAATATGAACATCACTCGTCTAATTATTAGTACTTTAGTGGTTATTGTCATGGATGCATAATGATAAACATGTCATTGTTGTAACAATAAAAAACTTACATATGTGATATGCCGAACAACATTGAACATGTTATCACTTCTAATCATATTAATATATAACATACATATGTGATATGCCGAAACAACATTGAACATGTTATCACTTCTAATCATATTAATATATATTCTCGATATGAACTTATTAACTTCCTTATTTTTTGTGGATGATATATGTGTCTAATTATGCATGATTTGGTTGCTTATAAGGTAACAAGCAATACAATTATGTTTGTTTATCTTTCTAGATAGATATGTCCTATAGATGACTATATCGAAAATCATTTCACTATAGTTATTGTTATGCCCCTCTAATATGTAATATATCTAATTCTTTTTGGATTTCTTTATTGATTAACCTTAAATTAATCAAATCCACATTTTTTAATAAATAAAAACATATCATAACCAGAAAACAGAATATATCTTATTTTTGTACTCTCAAGTTAAGCATTTCAAGATTCAAGTTTTATAGGTTAAAACATTAAAAAGGAAAAAAAAAATGGTTCGTTTACGCTTCTAGTTTTTTTTTCTTTATATGTTCGGAGTTTTGGAGAGGCCCCGACATTCATAAAATCAATGGTTTTTAGGCCTTTCTTATTCTCACATATTTATCAATCTTCATTATGCTTTTTTTTTAATGAATCGATCCCACAGATTGACGGCTCAATCTTCATCAAGCTCTTTTTTTTTATGAATCAATTCTTGTTCTCACAGATTGATGGCTGAATGTTCATCAAGCTCTTTCTTTGATATAAATCCTTGTTGTCACAGATTGGTGGCTCAATCTTCATCAAGCTATTTCCTTTTTTATGAATCAATCCTTGTTG